AGAAGCTGTTGCCACTGCAACATATGTACTCAACAGGTGTCCTACGAAGAAGTTGAAGAAAATAGTTCCAATACAGAAGTGGACTGGAGATAAGCAAAGTGTTAGTCATCTGAAGGTGTTTGGTTCTGTTTGCTATAAACATGTTCCAGAAGCCAGAAGACAAAAGTTGGATGATAGAAGCAAAGTGATGATTCTGATAGGGTACCACAGTACAAGTGCATACAAGCTCTATTGTCCAGAAACCAATAAAATTGAATTCAGCAGAGATGTGATTGTGAAGGAATCAGAAGTTTGAAATTGGGATAAGTCTCAATCTAATTCTGATGTTAGAACTTCTGAAGAAAGGTCAGAGTTAAGAATTTCTGAAGTTGGAGTAAATTCTGACGTTAATTCTGACTCTGATAGTGATTCTGACTTTGGAGAAGACTCAGAAGATGAAGGTGACTCTGATGATCCAGACTCTGATGGCAATTCAGACTCTGAAGATGGCCAAGGCTCTGGAGGAAGTCAAACCTCTGAAGCTAGAAATTCTGAAGTTCAAGACTCTGGAAATATGCCAGACTCTGAAGATGGTCAAAGCTCTGGAAGAAGTCAATCATCTGAAGCTAGAAACTCTGAAGCTCAAGACTCTGAACAAGTTCAGAGACCACAAAGAATCAGAAACGTCCCTAGAAGATATGCAAAATTTGACATGCTGCAAGACACTGAAGTAGACTCTGAAGGAGAAGTTATTCAGTGTGCCATGATGGTAGACTCTGAACCCATAAGTACAGAAGAGGCTCTTAAGCAGAAGCTCTGGCTGAAGGCCATGAAATAAGAACTTGATGCTATAGAGAGAAACAAGACTTGGAAGCTGACAGAACTTCCAAAAGACAAGAAAGCCATCAGCGTCAGATGGGTTTTCAAGCAGAAGTTAAAGCCAGATGGTTCAATTGGCAAACATAAAGCAAGGTTGGTAGCCAGAGGATTTCTACAGAAACCTGGGCTGGATTATTCTGAAGTGTTTGCACCTGTAGCAAGACATGAAACAATCAGAATAGTGATTGCAATAGCTGCTAACAGGAATTGGCCTCTGATGCATTTAGATGTAAAATCTGCATTTCTGAATGGTCCATTAGAAGAAGAAGTTTACGTGTCACAACCTCCTGGATTTGTAAAAAAGAATCAGGAAGGGATGGTGTACAGATTATACAAAGCTCTATATGGACTGAAACAAGCGCCCAGAGCTTGGAATCAGAAGATTGATTCATTTTTCAAGAAGCAAGGCTTTCAGAAATGTGAGATGGAGTACTGTGTCTATGTTCAGCATACTTCTGAAGGCAATATGACTCTGGTATGTTTATATGTTGATGATATACTATTGACTGGAAGTTCTAAATAGGAGATAGCCAAGTTCAAGAAGGTTCTAATGAATGAATTTGAAATGACTGATCTAGGCAAAATGACATACTTTCTAGGGATGGAGTTCAGATATTCTGAGAAAGGTATCATTTTGCATCAGCTCAAGTATGAATTAGAACTTCTGAAGAGATTTGATCTGAAGAATTGTAAGATGGCTGTCACACCTTCTGATACAAATCAGAAACTGGATTCAGACTCTGAAGGAAAGGATGTGGACGCTACAACCTTCAAACAGTTGGTTGGTTCTCTGAGGTATCTGTGAAATACCAGACCTGATATTTTCTACTCAGTTGGATGGCTAGTAGGTTCATGAGTAAACCTAAGTGGTCCCATTACCAAGCTGCTGTCAGGATTCTGAGGTATATCAAGGGAACTCTGAAGTATGGAGTGTTGTTTCCTTCTGGAAGAAAGGATGAGTAAGAACTTCTGAGTTATTCAGATTCTGATTGGTGTGGAGACAGAGTTGACAGAAGAAGTACATCTGGGTACTTGTTCAAATTTCTGGGAGGTCCCATTTCTTGGTGTTCCAAGAAGCAACCTGTTGTGGTGTTATCAACATGTGAAGCTGAATACATTGCAGGTGCTGTTACTGCATGCCAAGCTGTGTGGATTCTGAATCTGTTGCAGGATCTGAAGATTAAAATAAACAAACCTCTGAAGCTGATGATTGACAACAAGTCTGCAATCAATCTTGCCAGAAACCCAACGCTGCATGGGAGAAGCAAGCATATTGAGACCAAGTATCATTTTCTGAGACATCAAGTTCAGAGTGGAGTGTTAGAAGTTGTACACTGCAACACTCAGAAACAGTTGGCAGATGCTCTGACGAAAGCTATCAAGACTGATCAATTCCTCAGACTAAGGGATGGAATTGGTGTTACAAGTTTTGATGGAATATGAATTAAGGGATGGTATTAGAAGTAATTCATATTATTAGTACTATTTTCTTAGCCCCTAAGTTTGTTAGAGGGTATTTTAGTATTTTATCTTATTCTAGTAACCCTAATTTTAATTTATAAATAGGGTTGCAATCATTGTTATTTTGAGTAGTTGTGTAGCCGTCATTCTTAATAGAATATTTCTCTTTTTCATCATTTATTCTACCTTTGCACCAACATAATCATGGTGGACATAAAAAAAAGTATATATTTCTGCTTCTTAGACTGATCACAAATAACTACCTTGACAATCTTGAAGATCATGAGGGTTGAAAGATAAGGCTCTTATAACAACTCCTAACTCCTGCAACATCCACACATGTTACTCAATATTAATTCGTAATATAAAAACAACTGGAAAAACAACTGGAATAAAAATGACATAATATAAAAACAACTGGAATAAAAATGAAGTAGTATGTTTGCACTAAAAATATTACGACATGCTTTAACACTTACTACAGTTGAGAAAGGTAGGATTGCTAGATTTCTAGCTGTAAAAGGCATCAATTAGAATTTATTGATGAAATGACTTGATGTTGCAGGATTTTCATAAAAGCAAAAAGCTGTCAAATCCAAGTGGAGCAATGTAGAAAAAGAGGACTTTTTTTATTGTTCTACCCTATTTTTAAAAATAATATACCATACTATTCTAGTTTGAAAAAAAAACACCAACGTACCCTAAGTTTAGTATGTGCTCGTCTACTGGGATGGCGAGCAGATGAAGGTATGTGATGCATGAAGATGCTCGTTCACTAGGTTGGTGAGCACCTGATTTTTTAATTATTTTTTTGTTTTTTAAATTTTTATATTGTTTAATTAATTATAATAATAATTTTAATTAGTAAAAACATATTTTATGAATTAAAAAATATTTTAAAATTTTTTTTGTTGGTAATTTTTTAAAAATGACTGATGCTCACCTAATGAGTTGCCGAGTGTTTAGAGATTCTCGGCCAATGAATGACCGAGTTCAAACGTAATATTTTTCTATAAATAGATTGATGCGCATCAACACAAATTATTCGAGCTTGGTGTTTGCATTTTCAAAAATGTTTGTTTGAACTCTTGTTTTCTATGGACAAGAAAAAAATTAGTGTTTACCTAGATCCGCAGTGGAATTTCACAACTGTGGTTGCAGCAATTAACACAATCTTTCGACAGTTGGGTAGTCGTCGCATGAAGGTGAGAAAAATGGAGTATCGTTGTCCATATATAACACTGACTGATGCAAGTCCGGAGGGTACATACATGTATTACTTGGATCGTATAGAAAATAATGAAGATGTCCAATGTATGTTTACAACACATAGTGGCGAAGTTAACAGATGAGTCGAAGATCCACTTGTGTTGGTTGTTGTTGTTGATTAGCTTGTATGTTAGCTTTTTGGGTTTTAATTTTATTTAGTAAACATAAATTATGGCATGATGATGCTCGACCATCCATTGGACGAGCAGTGGAATATTTAATTATTTTTATATTTTCTATAAATAGCTTTGTGTGCAACCTTAGAATCTCAAATCTAGTACACGAATTCCTCATTTTTAGTCTGAAATATGGATCCGACTATGGAGTATTTTACCAATCCAAACACTCCCCTTACCAAAAGAGATGTTCTACTGGTTTTCTCACTAATAAAATCCCCGTTAAAGATCCGACTATGGAATACAATCATGTTCGAGCATTTTCATAGAAGTCTGGTGAGGTAGTAAGAACATGAAATAACTGAAGGTGAAAAGATTAGAAGAATCGAAAGGCTTGTTAAAGAGAGATGTCATGGTTTGGAAAGCTGTAAAAGAAGATTATGATTGTGTCATGATGATGTATGGACAAGCTGATAATAAGTTGATGGTTGTAATCTCCTAGTATTGTTGATTTATTGAATCATTTAAATGTTCATTGTCTTGTTGTTTTATAAGCAGATTCTTTGTTTCGTAGTTGTTAGTAAAAGTTGTCTTGAATTATAAATTAATGTTGGCTCACAGAGAAATCAAGTGTAAGATAAAAACTTTACTAATCGATTAACTTGAAAAATAAATAAAATTATCTAGACGGTCGATTTGACGGGCCGACGATATTTGGACATTTTCTACGCATATGGCTTATTTCTCTATAAATCCCACACCTTTTCTTTTCCTTTTCAACGTCTTCTATTTCGGTTCTAATCCTACTACTGGTTGGACGTCCCTTCTTATTTCTTCTTATAGAATCGTCGTGGCAAAGAGTAAATCCTTCATATTTTGGCCAGTTCTCCTCGTGAGGTAGTCTCAGGAAGCTTTCCTTGTAGACTTTGAATACGTTAAGAACTGTGAAGAGTTCTGGAATGTGAATGGAGTAGTCTTGACGTATACTAGAACATGTTATGATAATGTGGGAGCAACATAAGTGAAATGCCTGAAATTTCCCACAATAACACCAACGATTCCTCAAGTCAACGCTGAAAGTACCTGTCGGACGACCATCATTCTGATTAATTTTTTCCTGCACCATGAAACATAATCTTTCACGATCAAATTGCATGACATTATGTCTGTTAGCCTTGGCTACTTTATCAGCCATTCCCTTATTGCAACCATCCGTGCAAATTTGTCGGTAGCTAGCATTTTGGTCAATTTGTGGCCTCTTTTACCAAAGAGGGAACCCATGCGATAATATGTAGACTAGACCAATGTAGTGATTGGAAGGTTTCGGGTTGCCTTTGGTAAAGAGTTCATGGCTTCTGCCAAGTTAGATGTCATATGTCCCCAACGTTGCCCTCCGTCATATGCTCTAGCCCACTTCTCCCTAGGTATGTTGTCTATCCAACGTGAGGCCTCAATGTCTGTTCTTCGGATTTCCCCACGATAGTAGTTAAATGTAGCCTCCATCAATGCATAACATGTAATTGAAATGGTATGAAAAACATAGTAAAAGTATGATAAAATAGTTTAGGTAACTGAAATGTATTTTGTTACCCATGTTAATAAGTTTTTTGCGTAGTTCCTTGTCCTTAATCTCGCGCATGAAGTTTAACGCAATGTGTCTAATGCAGTAGACATGTGAAGATGGTGGATGTTGCTATCCATTTTCGGGATTGTTATATGCAATCTTTATCGATTCATGTCTATCTTAGATTAGACACAAATTAGGCTTTGGTGTCACGTGTAACCTCAGGTTCCTTAGGAAACAACTCCATACTTCCTTTGTTTCACCTTCTACCAATGCGAAAGCTATCGGGAAAATGTTTGCATTTCCATCTTGTGCCACCTCCATTAACAGAGTTCCTCTGTACTTACCATACAACCATGTCTCGTCAACTTGCACAATGGGCTTACAGTAGGCGAAGCCACGTATACACGGTTGAAATGCCCAAAACAGACAATGGAAGATTCATTTGCCAGAGATTTGGGAACCATCATTTGAAATTGCAGGTAAGTTTGCAAATCAATAATGGTTCCAGGAAGATAGGTTTTCATTACCAATATCCACCATGGCAGGTCGTTGTAAGATGTTTCCCAATTTCCATAGAGTGACTCTATGGCCTTACAGGTTTTGATCTATGCTTTCCTATAAGATATTATGTACCTGTATTTTCAAGAATATGAGCAATGATCACTTTCACCTTAAGTGAAGCGTTATGGTTGACAAGCTCTCTAATGTTGTGGCTAATCATTTCTAAACTGAGTTTTCTATGGTCTTGTGCAATAGACGTGGTAGTGCATGTGTGAGGCCATACAACTTACCAATCTTCCATTTTGAGTTCTTTTTTCTCAAGGAAGCTCTACATTTGAAATTGCAGTCTTGTTTCTTACATTTAATTACATATTGTTCATTGTCAGATTGGTAAACTCAATAGTCAACACTATATGTTATATGCCAATGTTGTAGAGCGAGAATGCAAGCTTCCTTGTTTTCAAACTCCATCTTAATCTCTATTTCGTCACCTATATGGTTTGGTATGACACTTCCAAACATAGCGATTGGTTCAACATCTTCCATACACATGTTCTGCATATGTGCAGATGGGCTGTACAAGCTTATTGGTTCTGCACGAATCGCCTGCGTAGGCGCGATTATCATATCTTCATCATCCTCATGATTTCTGTTACATAGAACATGTTTGATTTTGTAGGGGACGCGGTAGTTGGTGAACGCAAGCCAAGCCAAGAGTATTTAAATTGGTTTCGTGCAATTCCGTATGTGCATATTACTCTAGACCAATTTTTGATCGACCCTCGCGTGCAAGGTTCATCTTTAACACAATCAATTGTTGCACCAATGCATTAGGATGTGCCACCAATGTACATATTCCAATTTGAGGGACACATATCTTCATCTGCTCAACATACATACCAACACACACAGACCATCGAACAACACATATTCTATGCAACCTCATCCCAACACTAAACTCCCTACACTCCACTCCCTCAACAAAAATACCACTACAACTAAAAATATCAATACCAATCCACCCTTCAACCACCCTTACAGTTCATTCCAGTTCCTCCACCAAACTTTGATTAATTAAACCCCCAATCGCAACATCAAACCTTCAACACTTCATTCTCTCAACCCACCTCTACTTTCACGCCCGATGATGTCTACTACCCAATCCTCCAATAAACTCAACCCAAAACTTACACCCAACCACCACAACCATCGCATTCATTCCAACATTTTTTGCTAACGCAGGATCAACTGATGCAAATGTCAGATTTTAACATTGATGACTTTCTTGTGGAGCAACCTACGACACAAGCGGACCCCCCTTCAAGGCATGCGGACCCCCTATAACACATCACGATCAAGATATGTCTTCTGATTCATCTCCATCACCTACAAGAAATGCAAATGAACGTATGGACAGGGGATATCGACAAAAAAGGGGCACTAGGTGTGGAACTGGCGACCATTTTTGATGAAATATATTTTAATTAGTATATAATATGTATTTTTGTTTGAATAAATTCCTTCATATATATTTTTATTATATTTAATTAATATAATATGTTTTTAATTAGTATATAATTATTAAATTAATATAATTGTTTGAATATATAATTATTAAATTAATACAATATGTATTTAATACTTAAAATTATTAAATACAACATTTATATAAAATAAAAATCTAAAAAACAAAAAAATATTAAAATACTAAAGTGCTCGACAACCCAGTGGATGAGCACCTTCATGCACAAGATGCTTTCACCTGCTCGCCACCCCAGTGGACGAGCACGTACTAAACTTAGGGCACATTGGTATTTTTTTTTCAAACTAGGATAGTATGGTGTATTATTTTCAGCAATATGGTAGAATAGTAAAAAAAGTCGTAAAAGAACCGCAACAATGTTGAAAAAAGTAATAAGTCAATATACAATGTTAAAACATGTACTTTATCATTTCATCATTTCTATAATATAATATAAATAATATGTGATTGAGACATTTTGAATTCAAATTCAATATATCACATAATAGTTGCTAACATGAACAATTACATACTCAGTTTAATACACTATGGCACAATGAATATTTTCTCTCCAAAATAAGCAAACATTACTACACAGCAGACATGAAAGTCATCCCAAAAAGTACAGCTTTGACAAATTGGTTATGTCCAACATAATCAAAAGCCAATAGCAGCATTTCATGAAGGGTAAAAAAAATCATAACTCCACCAACCATAATCCACATAGAAAATATATTCATACAAATACAAATGCTGCAAATATTCCACATCTCACATTTAGCTACTACACACGAATACAAAAGAACAAACTTAGAATTGGTATAAAATGCTTGCAAATGATTAAAACTATGTTGCGACTTTTTAAAAATTATAATGAATCAAAATATAAATTCACATCTTACAACATTGAAGATGAGTTTAGATTAATGGAACTTTTGTGTGCTTAGTTTTCCTTGTTCCAACAGACCTCTTAATCTCTTTGTATTTAAAGAGTCCACGCATCCTTTAGAAGAGATTCATCTTGTTTTTGTACCCGAAATGATACATGTCAACCGTATTAGAGCTTTTATAGGATTAGTATCCATTTACATAACATCCTACTTGAATGATAAAACTCATAGTGGGTTAACCCAAGCAGAGCTTCTAAGAAGAAGATCCCATAAGCAATGGCAGCAGTCGTGGCTCCATTGATGATTCACATTACATTAAAACCTATAATCACAATGATGTCCTTAATATTTTGATGTTGGGAATCATTAAAGTAAGCAGGGACAATATACTTTGAGATAAACCTAATACAACATGCATCATACCAATCATACATTCAGAAATATATTAGACACAACACATAATATAATTAATTAATTACAACATAAAACAAAGAGGTAAAGAAAAAACATGTCTCATTACTCTAATTTACACAAACACATAAACAAAATCTAATTCATATCCACGTGGAAATAAAATCATACAATGTTGGGGCTTAGGGTAAAGAAGACCGAAGAAGTAATTGAATAGATGAGAGAATTTAGGAATTTTATTGATTACCAAAATTGTAAGGAAATTTTTAAATAAAAGTTGGTTGATGCAATTAAGTTCCTCCCCAGTTTCAGCTCCTTCAGTTTCTCCAAGAACATCAATGATTTAGATCTTGTTTTTGAGCTAGAATGACTACTTTTCTTGAACCTTTTAGATCCTGCTTCCTAAAATAAACTCTAAATTAAGAATAGGATGAGAGAGAGAGAGAGAGAGAGAGAGAGAGAGAGATAGAGGTTGAGAGAGAGAGAAAGAAGAAAAACAGAGATACAAAGTATATGATGAGCAAGGTTAGAGAGAAATGGATGTAAGAAGTCTTTCCTGATTGAAAGACGATGCAAACACACACACACACACACATAGTGTGTGTGATTTGGAAACTGGACAGTGGTTGTTTAGTGTTTCGTGTAGAGAGAGAAGAATATAGAAAATTGGAGAGAAGGAGAAGTTATGTGTATGCACAAAGAGAGAAAGAGGGATGAGATGATAAGAGAAAACGGGAGAGTGAATGGGAGAAATACTTTTGTTTGAGGAAGCCAATGGATTAGTGACAATTTGCATGCAAAGAGAGGTTTGGTTGAGATTTATTTATGACATTTATTAATTACTTATTTGTCCAATCGATAGTGTAAATTAAAATTATTGGATGGGAAAATTGGTAAAATCATGCAATGGTATTTTGAAGGTTTGATAATAAATTTCATTTATACTACATAATTTATTTTGGAAACTAGCATCATTATATGGACCTTAGAATTTATGGTTCTCATAGAAATAAATATATTAAATTATGCACCTTGTTTTATGGACTATCGTAATCCACTGATATCTAATCTATCCATTTCCTATGCATATTTTCTCAAAACCCTTTCTTGATGGCTATTTGGTAGAAAAATAATTGAAATAGAACCAATTATTTCAATTATTGTGTTTGACTTCATCGAGTCATCCCTATTTATAGATTTTATTCACATCCCTTCATAATAACACGTTTTCTTTATAGTTGTTATTCATAGTCTTTCACAATAATACCCTTTCGCTATATTTTAATATCACCTTTCACTTTATTTGAATAACACCACTTCACATGTTATTTGAATAGCACCTCTTCATGTTATTTAAATAACACTCTTTCATAATACACTCTATCATAACACATCTCTTCATATTGTATATTTAATTATTAAAAATTCATACATTCTGCCACTTGGCTCATGTGACTTAACAATAAATCAATTATAATGTGCATTAACGAACCTTGCATGCATTGATTCCATCATTCATCATAATTAAGAATATAATTCAATAAGATTCATGACAGATATATATCATTTAGTCGACATATTTCCTTTCATGTACTACTATGTTGACATTTGT